TCCTCTTTATTGAAAAGTAGAGTTTAGGCAAAGAGAATTTGAAGCAGAATTTGTAGCCGGTTACCTCGCTACCATTTTTTCGCACACGATTAGTTTCGATAGACACAACATATTTTCAGGTCAGGTTTTATTAAGGGAAATGTAGGTAAATACACTTGAACTCCCTATTGGTACAGAACAGTCATGCGATGCATTGGCTTAGCAGAGCGTTGCAAAAGAGTGGCGTCGCCAGTTATTGGAACTGGGTGAAGGAGGGCGATAGTTAAAAAATTCCTTAGGCATTCTTCAGAAAGTCTAGGAGTTTGAATGCCATTTGAGGGATTTAAGGAGAAAAACTGTCGCTAGTGGAGGGAGAGGGGGTGGGGGGAGAGTATATTCGAATTGGATGGCCTGTGCTGAGAGTGTTTGAAGCATGTCAGGAGGAGACCATCGTTGTTAACACTTTCAAGATACGAAAACCCCAGATTAAGTTTAAGTTATATGGCTAATCGGTAGAGAGTTTTCTTTTTCAGCAGTGAATGTTCATTATCCGAGCAAAGGTATTTAGGCGAATTCCGACGTTACAGTTTGATATTGAACGAAGTATTGGTCGAGTACGTCAGTTATATGAGTTCATTGCTATTGGTTCTTTATAATCACAATGAACACGGTCTGTTGTATGTGCGATTGTAATTTAGTTAATAATGATGACTGTTGATATAAGCGAATAGACGAGTTCCAGCAAGCAGTTCAGAGGTAGAAAATGCGACCGTTGGAGCCATTACTTTGTTTGCCTGACGTTTCGCATTCTGTCCTGAAGCCCTCCTCAGAGATAACCGCAGAATAGGGGGATACGTGCACATGACTGGTATTAATTGTAGATCACACCATTAAATTGGGCCTCAGGCGTTCAAAAAGCGGGAACTTGATTTATTTATACAGGTAGCAGTCGTGCATCGATGGATTCGGAGATGTAGTAAGCTAGATAAAATCAGGAAGTTGGCAGTTCATTTGAAACATTTTTCTGGCTGGATTTTCTGCTTGCAGTGCAACCATCAGTAAGAGGGCTCCCCCTGGCGCTTTGGTACCTGAACTGGTCGCCCGATTTTTATAATCATATGATATTTCGCTCAAGTTATTGAGAATTGACTTTACAGCTAACATTTTAGTGCGCCAATGGGACGGATTCTGAGATATCGAGCAAATTCTAGTTATCCAAACCAAAAACAAAACTTATATTTTCGTAGTTGTTGGTGCTTTGGTCTCCCGGATTTCACAAATCCAAAGGGGAACGTGGACAAATTTCCAGTATGTAATTTTTATTTTTGCGTTTTTCTATGACAGTCCTATGTAAATACCAAATGCGCATGCGTATTCATAAGATTAAAGCATCTGCATACGTTTTCTAAACTGCGACTGGAAAACAAGGGTCTTAGTGAACGTGCATAATTATAAGACAACAACTTTGCTGCACAATAAATATTTATGTGCTTTACGCGCTTCCCACGTCTTGTGGCTGAAAATGCATCCGGTAAAAAAACTATGTTGGTATGCCTGCACAAAATAAGTTGCCTATAGATGGATTTTTTATGGTTTAAGTTTACATGATTCCTCCTCACAGTATAATAGGCATGGCTAAGTATTTCGGTTTATAAATGAAACATTAAATTCACGATAAAAATACAGTATTGCAAGTGCTGCAAGAAACTTGCCTAAGTTTGTAAATGTTTGACAGTTCCTCGCATACCGGCGTGAAGGCATTTCCGAAAACTTAGAAATAATAATGAACAGCATTAGGCAAATTTAAAACTTAAAAGAAATATAAGAAGAACTAAGTGTTTGTTAAGAAAAACGAACTTTTCCCTATAATCCCCAAGTTCCGCAGACGGAAAAAATAGCTATAAATTAGAACAATAAATTTAAATATTTTATTAAGCTGAAAACGGAATTGAACCAATTTCTTTGCATAAAAAGAAAGTTTCTTTAGTCAAAATATTTTGTACATATTACCATTAGTGGATAGCTATTTATTGAATATCTTCCAAAATAGTGTGGCATGATTTTCATCGTTTTCAGTGTTTTCATGTGGTCATTCATAAAGTCTGCTTCTGTTCGACTATTACACCAGAACCTTTAAAATAAGATATACCTAAAGAGCATTTACCAAAAGAAAGTTTTTTTGGATATTAGTTCTTATACAGATGGCCATTTGGCTCATACTGAGAAATGCCTCTAAATAGCAAACCACATTGTCGAGAATAAATACTGTCCGCAATGGAATTCTGATATTGTTATTCGTAAGATTAATAAAAAAACTTTCCGTAATAACGTACCTCTATAAAAAGTGTTCTTCTAGGATATTCTGTGTATATTAGAATTTTCCAAGGTAATGTCACAATGAAATTGGAGACTTTTGACATTTTCTTGAATTTACCTGAATATAAATGATTCAGTCTGACTGCAGATGAAAGAAAATACTTTTCTCTTTATAAGGGAATATTTTCCATGTAAGTGGATTAATTCCACGATCAGTTATAAGTTTGCGAATGCGAAAAAAAACTAGCCATATAGATGGTTAATAACGAATAAGGGGAACGTATGCTTTACAAAAACTATATTTCTACATGATCTTCATTTGATAAGGTCTGTTTTACATTCCTTTTGCGGTAACATATGCGGGCGCTTTGTTTATGCGCAAGTAGAGCGGTGCGATACAACAAAATTCCGACGAAAACTTTTTGTTACTGCATTTTTTTGCAAATAAACTTCAAAGGTTAGCTAAACATACTTTTTAGAGCTTAAATGTCTGCTCTTTTGTAAACATAAATTCGATTCCTTAAACTTGGCTTCACTTCCATTTGAGCAAACTCGGACAAAAATTTTCAGTTCTAGAGGGCCTAATTTTCCCACTTTTTTCTACTTGTCCTGGAAATCTTTCATAGCACAATGCATATTAATAAAAAGTTTGGTTGTGTCATACCTTATAACATGGGAAACATCTTCTTTATAGACTTACTCAAGATTTCGCCAAAATAAGTGCTTATTTCGCTCCATCATTTTAATTAAGGGAGCAATTTTCCAAAATAAAGCCTTTCTTCTTATTTACTCCACTCAGTTGATCAAAATAACCTGGCAAAACATATGCTAAACTACCAAGTTAAATTTCTTCGTGAAATTTTCTTGCTGCAATTGCAATACTGTATATTTAGAGTAACATCGTGCAAAACAAAAACTCCAGAATTCGCTTATGCGGAGCTGGTAGCAATAGGGGTTACACGGGTGGGGCATTACGGGGGTGCGGGAGAGAAAATAAAAGAAATATATCAGACAAAAACCGGAGGTAAAAGATAAAATCACTATAAAAAGCCAAAGAAAAAGTGCACGCTAATTTACGAATTAATCAGAATAAATACTGATTAATTATATTAAGAAAATATTGAATTAAACCTAATAGTAAATTATCTTTACCACCGGTACCGTTTAAGCGAATTGTAGGGCTTTTGGTTTCCGTGGCCTTACCCGTAATCGAATATTACCAAAGTCACTTAATAAAAAAGCGAGCAAAATAATCTGCTTAATATAAAAACATCTGGAGACGTTCTCCATTAAACAGCTAATATTTCATATTCAAGTCAGGACGTGATTTATAAATGAACCTGATTAAGCTTGCACTAGAATGGAGCGTAAGCATGACCACATAATGAGGATTGGTGTAACTTCCACACTTCCAACAAAATTACTTGCTTCACATTACGGCTGAAAACGCATTCGATATTAAAAAATATTTTTGGCAGACTTCAGCAAAACGATTCGCTTTTATCTGCACATAATTGGTTCTGTGTTTCTTTACTGCACCTAAAAATAGTACCTATGTTTCTAAAACAAACAAGTATTGCAGCTCACAGTAAAGCAGGCAAACCACACTACAACTTTTGAACAGTTAAATCGCTTTGAAATTTTTCTGAAGCAGTCTTTATCAATTGGCCTCTCCCATCCGCCACAATGACTTGCAGCTAATTCAGGCGATCAGCACGACAGAGTTGTTGCACAAAACTCTCAAAACAATAGGAAGTTCTTTCATGTGACAATGAAAAAGGGGGAGATATCATGGCGTTGCATACGAAGCACTTTCCTCCCCCAGCTGGCATAGAACCAATTAATTTTGCATTGTTTTTCATCCCCTGCAGATGCAGCGGCGGGGGAGGAAAGATGGTTGCCTTACAGACAAAAAGACCAATACTTATCCAGAGGAGACGGCTGTGAGATTTTGCTTCCTCCCTAAAAAGGATAGAACCAGTAAAAGAAATAGGCTTAATAAATTCTAATTCAAAAACAGCCAATTACCACTGCATAAAGTAAACACAAGTGTATCCGGTTGTTTTGTGACAGTAGGTGGGGTATTTAAATCAGTAAAAACAACTCCCCACTTATTTGCACAAGCTTTTGTTAGTTTACCGTTAATCCTACCATGCGATCTAGTTTGCATTACCTATGGCCTGAAGAAGACACTAATCTACTGCCAGGTGGTTATCAAAGCGGTGTATGCCAATTTCGACGTAAAGGAGCATCTTTAAGAAATATATATCAAAATAACATAACATAATATAATATGGTTTTCTTTTTTAGACTTCTTTACTCAAAATTGTACAGGCTTTGAAAGCATGCTGGTCATTTAAAATACCGCCAATTTAAAGAGAATTAAATTGCCTGCAATATGTGTCTCCTTATCTTGATAAGGCATTACATATGTGCTCCAAAATCAGAGTAGTCTCCTATAGGAGCATGTTAATTAAGTAAACGTTCAAGGCTTATGAACTTTTCTTAGTTGAAGCTTTCTCCCAATTACTTTCATCCTGCTGTCTTCTATCCCTGTCAAGGCGGTAATTTTACCACTCATCTGCCGCGTACAAGGCATCTTATGCTAGCGATACACAATCGTGTTGCAGGGTCAACCCCTTTTATTTGCACGCAACTCTCATTTGACGGACTTTGTACACTAATTCGTGTTATTTACTTTACAGAAATGACCGGTACTTGGTGCAAGACTACTGTGCGCGCAGTAAGATCTATGTAACGATTGGCAGCCCTGTCGATCTGAGCACCTGTGCCACAACCGCAGGCAAAGCAACTCAACTTTCTAGTGGTAGCGGTGCCGGCAGCAGTAACCAACCCTCATCCACTCTCTCCCCCATCTCCATTCCGCGGTCTCTCACTATGGGTGTACCTAGTAAGCGCGGGAAGAGACCGGGATCAGGAAGGGACGGTACAGGACGCCACCACACTGTTAGTCCTGAAGTGCCGGAGGCACTCTTTCACAGGAATACCTCATCTTTATTGGGGGTAGAAGCAAGTGAGCACCAGCAGACGACAGTGGCTGTCGGGGAGGTTGGCGCTTCGGCTTCTGCTAACGCCAGCTGCGACGACATCAGTGCCTCCCAGTCCTCCTCCGGGTCGCCACCTCTTTCACTTGGTTCCTCTCCCAAACCCGGTTCGGCCTTCAGTTTGCGTCGTTCAGGAAGCAGTCTCAGTTCCAGATCCATGCCCGTGGGCGGCGGCGGTGCAGGACATATTAACCGAAACCTGCCACTCTTGCTCTATGTGTACTTGGGTGAAGGCCAAAATGGTACCGGCAGTGAGCTCTGCTTTGCACCAACCGAGAGGTAGGTCATTTCTTTCTCATTTATGTTAAGCAACATAGGCCTCAGAATAGGAAGGGACGTACCCCCTATTTCGCAGCCCGAAACCCACACTGCTTCCGGTCACTTCTTTACTTTTGCGCCGAAAATGGCACAACTGATTATGAGCAGCTTGAATTCATATGTATGTGCAGTCTTTCAATGTACAGGACAAACATAACTGCTCGAAAAATGAACAGGGAAAGCTACCAGGAAGTGATAAAATTTATGTGTCTGACTTCAGTGTATGAAAAACGAAGCACAGTCTGATTCGCATTGCATCAACCATGGCCCTGCAGCTGCTGTGGTCTCCGAACACGATAGAATATCGAAAACAGTCAAAAAGATCATATGTTAGGTGAAAAGAAAACAAGGGCCGATTTCGAATAGTCTGCTTATTTTGGTTTGCAGTTGAAACAGGACAGTTTGGCGGCAATAAAGAAGCCACAAATGACCATCCCAGTCTCCCACTTAGTAGCCATTTGCCCCTAAAATAAAAAACAACAAGAGCACCGGTCAGTTATTATTACAAAAATCGGAATACCGAACGTTTTCAAATAAGAAATAAACACTTGTATATTTTTGCCTCAGAAATGGCATGACTGATTATGGGCAGGGTGAATTCATGCATGAGCGCAGCCTTCCAATGTAAGAGACAAACATAACTACTTCAACACATTTTATTTCAGGTGAACAGGAAAAGCAAACAGGAAGTGTTAGAATTCATGTTTCTGGCTTCAGTATATGAAAAAAAAATTATAGTCCGGTTCGCATTGATTCAGCTATGGGCCATGATATGTTATGTGAAAAGCCAACAAGGCATGATTTCGTATCTTCTGATTTTTGGTTAGCAGTTGAAGCAGGACAGATCGATAACAATGAAGAAGTCATAAATGGTTATCTCAGTCTGCCATGTAGTGACCGTTTGCTGCTTACATTTAATACCAAAACAGCGCCGGTCTGTTTTACTTAGGAAAATCGAAACGGCGAAATTTTTTAAATAAGAAATAAACACTTTTGGGAAGTATGCTTGTAAGGAATGGAGATCAGCAAACATCAAGCTTACATCAGTTACTCCATCTATTTACATTTCAAAGTTTAGCTTGAAAGATGTAATAAATAATCTACAGTGGCAGTTCGACACTTGTTACCGACGAGGTGTGCCACACATCACGTTGGACGCACAGACCGTTAATTGTGCCTTAATTAGTTTATACTGATCGTATACTTTCAATCCTCTAATGGGAATCGAAATATCCTATCACTCAACAGCCTACTAAACCATGGTTTTCAAAGCAACCTGGCCAGCTTAAAACACGTCAGATTGTTTAGAGTGAGCAGTATACGCCGAAGGCAGTAGTTATGATCGCTGGAGTTGACCTCTGCCTTTTTCAGGCACGGGTCCAGTTTTAGAGTCAGTCAGTTGTCTGAAGCGGTAAGTAGGTCCAAGTGGCTAATAGAGTTCAAAAACGTCTGTACATGCCAAACACAACCACACATGTGCACATCATGGGCTATGCGGCTTGGATATCACATGCGTGAGAGTGATATCGAGGCCACATTAAGAGGTCAACGTTTATCTTACAATGTCATCAAATTCAAAAGAAATATCTTGTGGTACAGAACCCATTCATCCGAGTAGTTTTCCTTGTAAAGTGTTATTCAGTTAGTCGGAATTAAATTCCCGACGACAACCAAAGGAGTAGAAGATGATCTAAAAGATCTATTATGTAGTACTCGTTGAATTGTATTTTTGCATTTAATGTACTATCATGTCTGCTAACATGAAGAGGCTGGATTGTCTATTACAAGCTAGGTAACGTCATTAACAAGCATAAGCTTAACTTCCTTTTGCATGTGAAAACCTCTACCTATTATGCGTATATGTCTTTTGCTACACGCAAAGAGATTTCCAACGAGATATAGAGTAAACTGTCGGCGGAGATTAAATTAATTTTAAAGGCCTGCTTGCGTCCAAAAAGCGACATTTCATGTAGGTAGGATTGAAAAGAATGCCATTTGGAGTGATTAAAAGTAGAAATATTACTCAAAAATCTGCTATTCGTTTGACTGCTGTGAATACTGTTATAATTCACAGAATCATGCACAATGTTTACAATCTTTTGTTTTGCATAATATTCTGCATTGTCCGCCAGATTGGCTGTTTATTCCAAGAAATACAAAGGGCTTTATAGTCCGTCTTTTAATTAAAATGGATTAGTTACGGTGTTTTGTAGATGAGGGTCAAATTCCTGCATTTTTTCTTGTTATACTGAGAGGGGAAGCTGACAAGGATTTACCGTTAAGAACATTGACGTACATATAATTATAAGTATTCGGTGTCCGGCATCTTAAATCTTCCTCTTATTAACTCGACAAATGTTTTAGTCGTCCTACTTATTTTTCGATATGGCTCCACCACTAACAGTTTGACACAGAGCGATCCCACGAATGTTAAAAGCACTTATAAGCGTTTCACGCGTTTTGCAGCAACTGCCGATTCATATAGTCACTCAAATTTGATGGCAGGTAAAATTGTCTAGTAAAAGTTGTCACTCGGCATTAAAAAATGTTCCATCTGTTGAATACATTCCTTATATATTTGTTTGTATATTGTGCTTCCCGTTGGCTAAAACAGGCTGCACTCAGATAGGCTTGCTTTCAGGTTTTACTTTACATAAGAATACTCATTTGATCTTCAGAATTTGTGTGGCTGAATCAGGAAAGAATTTGTTTTTAATACCTGACTCCCCTTTTTGCGTGAATGCTCCATCGTATCAAAGACCTTGTAGGCGTACAATCTGGCTACAATATACCCAGTCACTTACTGAACTGCCTAGGCAAAGAGAGACGTCAGTTTTAGCACGCATCTCTCTTATCTTTCTTTAAGGAAATAGGCGTATAACAAATTTCACCTTAGGCGGAGAGTCTGTATGCACCATATAAAGGTAGTTTATAAAAAATACCAGTTGCCTTTCCATATTAAGAACATGAAACGTGATTATTTTCTCACTCTGTATTTTTTATTTTTCTTCATCAAACAAGTTTGCTATCATCTAAAGATGTTGTTTGCTTGCTCAGAGCAAATACTTTGTCAAGCGAAATGGTAAGTGCTTTGAGCAATTAAAAGCATCCTACTAGCAATTTTGAATGAGAAGCACTTGTCATGTGTCTGTCTTTATTAGTTTTGCCGTTCTATTTTCACCTTACTTGTACTACAATTGTACTCGGTGAGATTGTTAACACAAAGATCGAAATCGTAAGACAATGGTAAAATCACCCCCTCACTTTTTAGATCTCCTTTTTAAGTGACGCATTAGGCGTCACTAGACTCGTGGCTTCATCTTTTATAGAAACGATTATTTGATACGGCATGCACGGAAATGTTACAAATTTACGTCTTCGACCCCGCAGGCTTTCGCGCACGACCACTCGAAATTTCAAAGTACTGTAGAATTTCCGCAAGGGTACTTACTGCCTCTTTTTACCTGAAACTGCATTCCTTTTAATGACATTGCATGCTAAAAACTAACTCGAATGAATTGTTTTTATACCGGCGAATTTGACACCGCAGTTTGCGATAAACTTTACGGTTGTGTATATGCCCATTTTATGTAAAAATATAGAAATAAGGAGGATCTAATCTAGTTATCTGAGCGGTCATAGCCTATCGCTGTTTTTGAATATCCGGCATTTATCAGTTTATTAATGTCGCCTAAATGTCAGGAATGTTCTTATCTATCGTCTGTCGGGAACAAAAGCTCTGTGGATTATTTGCACACGCAGTTGTAGCAGTCTCATTGTTCATAGACTTCAAAGATACTGTGTACTCTGAATAAACAGACGCAGTTGGCTTATAGATTTCAGTAAGTTGCTGAATTTCTACAGCCATAAGCGAGTTTTCAGACATGAAATGCGTGCCATTTTGCTTTACCTCATACATTCTGCTTGTCAAGCGGTTTAGATAATATATTCTGACCGCGTTTGCTTCTTGTTTTTCCATTTTATTTTGTTGAACTACGTTTCACCATGACAATGTTAATAACCTGACAAGCCCGCGATGTATAAAGTGAGTTTGCTAGAAGAAAATTATGGATATTGCAGACTGTATGAAGCTATTTGAGCAATAGAAGGATATATTATTCCATAACCGCTCTTTATCAGTTACAGAAGCTTTTTTCAGCTGCGTAACTTCAAAATATCTAACTAACACATATTAAGTGTAATCTACTGTTATAAGTGATACAGCGTATCACAGTAATTAATCGACCGAATTCCGGTTCAGTAGGAATATTTATCTTTACATACAAATTAAAAGTCTTTTTCAAATAAGACTTGCAACAGAAAGGGGAATCCACCATGAGCATTTAAAAATAACAGCACAGTTTGCGTTGATATCATTCATGACATTGCAGGCGACTTTCCAAACCAAAATGGCAACATAGCTGGAGGAAAAATCAAGACCAGTAGGGAATGTTATCTGATAAAATTAACCCTGATCCTTTTTCCGTAAATCCCGTAAAGTATTCAAGCGGAATTCACTTTAATGAACGAGCAAAAATAACGTAAGTGGTCTGTTAAAGGAACTGATAATCTTCGATAGACATATATCAGGCATTATTGAAACTGCTATGTTTTAAATGCATAAAAGTGGTTCACAGTGAAAACATAATTTTAGGTTGAACGTTTTTCGACCCTCGAATTTAAAATAAATAGTTGCGCTTCCTGTCTGGAAGATGAATTTATGTCTTTAGGGCATATTATTGATCTACAGGCAATGAGCCCTTTTTGTTTTAAAAATTAAATGAGCTTTCAAGTACCTTTGCTTTGAACACAAAATACTTACGTCGGGCTGGAAAAGGGTGTTTACACGTACCGATAGGTTGTTTATGGTACCAGTGTCGATCGCTGGTAGTCACATTTTTTAAAGTTTTCACACACCATCCTCTTGCTGTCGGCGTAACTGGAACAAGGTTGATGTTAATTTTA